AATATACATAATATATAAATATGTGGTGTTGTGTGTGTGTGGTAAATATGAAAGTATAATATATATATATTTATAATAATATAGTGGATTGCTAGATAAGAGAGAGCGAGAGAGAGAGAGGTTCTCTCTAAAACGAAGGTTCACTTCATAAGCACCCTATTCGACAAATCACATACCCCGTCCCCCATGTACCTCCCCCTCGCCCTCCCCAAGCCCACCTCCCTCCCCCTGCCCCCTTGGCCCTGCGCTCCTCCTACAACCCATTGATTCACGCCATATTTTAGAATTATTTGCAATGTCGTTCTATATAGCGCGGAGTCCCTCTGCTGATTAATATACCTCCGTGGAGGATGAGGACGAAATACTAACGACGGCGGGAGCGGAATAGGTGTGGGCGTGGGTCAGGTAAGTAGCGCGGCCATGAAAACAAAACGGCCTGACTCGTCGGCGCGGGAGGGTGGGCCTCGCGGTCACTGCGCCGGCCAAGGCACCCAGGAAAGGATTAGATATTAATAGTTATATAATAAGTGAGGATATATATATAATGTAGGTAGGGTGATATTATAGTATAGGGGGGGTGGAGGGAGGGGAGTGAAGGGAGGAGGGGGGGGGTGATGAGAGGGGGGGAGGGGGGTGAGGGGGGGGGGGGTAGGGGTGGTGGAGAGGTAGGAAGAGGAGAGGGGGAATATGTGTTAAGACGATTGAGACGACGCGGTGCAGGAGCAGTGTACAGGTGATGATTAGGTAGTTAAGCGCATCTTGAGAGGATTGAGAATGAAGGGAAGTGCGCTATTGGAGCCAGATGTAAGTAGGAGAGCCTGTGATGGAGGTAGGTTGAATGTGAGAGGTGATGTGGGGTAACTTAATAACAGGCAGGCAGACGACCATCACACACACTGCGGCGACCTACAAAACAATCATACGCTCATCCCTATGAATCTTGAGATAGGGCTGTATATCGGAAAGAGTGGAGAAATGAATCTCGCTATGATATGGATGGCATTACAGCGCTTTTCACCTGTAGTTCTTCATTGTTTCGTGGATCGATGTTGAGTTTACTTCCGTTATTCTGGGGAGGGAGGGGGTGTGTGTGAACACGATGGCGATGCTACTGAAGTAGATCTATAGGAATAGGCGAATTTGAGGTGGAGATGATAGTAGGATAAAGAAGATTTTAGGAGCGAAGGGTTGGAGGGGTATGTAAAAGACAAAGAGGAAGAGTGAAGAAGATGGCACAGGTCGACGGGGGTTCAGGCCTGTAACATAGGGAAAATGTACAGTAGAGGAGGAAAGCCGATGAGGGGGCTCGCCAGACTCTCATAGTCCGTTTGGGCCTGGTTGCTTAGAGGAACGCGGAATAAATTCTGGGTTTAATTAGCTGGAGTAGAATGGCAAGGCGAGGAGATATTCACGTAAAAGAGGTGTGAAAAATCACGCGGGAGGGAGTGGAAAGCATCCACATAGACGATCGGTTTTCATAAATCGAGAACATAATGCTGCCACAGCGGCGCACGGTAGAGGTCGTTCTGTTGTAACCATTTATTTCCATTATCCTAAAAATAAAAGAGGGATTGATTATGAAAAACATTAGATGTGGAAGACAGGAGTCAAGAGAAAATGAGTGAATAAAGCGCCAAAACGCGAGGATGCAAATGAGGGAGTTGGGAGAGTGGGATCGAGAGACCTTAGAGAAGCGGCACGTAGAACCAGATGAGTCGAATTAGTGAAGGGGAGAAGTAGTAGGTCAGGGAGAAAACAATGCGAGAAGAGGGAGAAAAAGAGCACAGGCAGGGGAAGGTGGGCGGGGATAGCGATCGGGAGAATCGACAGCAGGAAGCGAAGTAGAGGCACCGATCTGAAATATGGAAAATAGCGGCGGGAGAAGGAGAAGAAAAGGAACAGGGAGAGAGGGAGCAGGACGCGGATACCCGGAGGAGGAAAGATAAAGAGGGAGAAGGAGAACCAGGAAGTGAATAGCACTGGCGAGCAAGAGGAGGACTGACTTCGCAGAAGCTGGAGATATATAAGAGAATATAGAAAGGAGTAAAGAGGGAGCAGGAGAGGAAGAGGAAAAGAGGAAATGGACACGAAGAGGTAACGAGAGGTGAGAAGAGATCGAAGAGGTAATAGAGAGGGGTAATTATTGCGCCCAGTCTTGTCACCTGGAGTTTTCATATAGAATTGTTGCCACGCACGTAGATATAAACAGACTGAGAGTCACTGTAATTTGTTTATTTCATCCATCACCCCGTAATTTCGACTTTGAGATTCCAAATTGCAGTTCGCGGGCAAAGAAGGAGCTTAAATGACGTGTTATGATGAGACGATCATGATCTTGATGATTATGATATTATCGTTTGTTCCGTATCAGCATTATCATTCTACATCAATATAGTCACATAAATTATAATATGGCAATAATAATATACGATAATTAATATATATACTCACTCATTTACCAAATACCATCATCATTAAGCGTTATTCTTAAGTATATAGCTATAAACATTACATCAAACATGCATTATTAAGAATAAAGTAATATAGATATGAGAAAAAATAAAAAGAGGATAATGAAGAAAAAGAAAAACGAGAAAGAACAATCAATATACATGAGAGAGATGAGACGATGGGTGGTAGAAGGAGAGAGAGAGTATGAAAATAGCACAGTAAGAGTTGGTGAGATGTGTAGAGGAAAGAGAGATAGTGATGGTGGATGTGTAAGGAGGATAAAGATATAAAGGATAAAATCAGAGAAACAACTTGCAAGTTTGCACGAGAAATGATCATATTATTAAATCGAGTGAAATTTCGGATTATATCTAGTCAATTTAGTTACAAATTTCCGATTTTCTGAGAGAGGGATTTAATCACATGGATTATTCAATAATATTTCTCAAAAACCAAGTTTATTAAAATAAAACATTAAATCATCGTAAATTAAAGTTAAGTTACAGATTCCAATTTTTTAAAACTCCCCGCAATTCACCATCAACGGTTCCATCTCCGAGCAGAGATCAAACACATAAACAAGTAAAGAAATAAACAATACACTTATATACACGAACATATTATTTGTCCTTCATTGCAATCCGTCCGGGAAATAAAGATCTTATCTAGTCGTGATATATATTGCATAGATA